CAGGCCCTTAGGGACACACTGCCAGCTTACAATAGTATTCAGCCACTGCAAGGTTAACTCTCTCACCTCTACTGATTAGAAAGAGGGAGATGGAAAAAAAAAGAAATAAGAGAGAAAAAGACTCCTTTATGTCTTTATGTATTGTAATTTAATTAGTGCCTATTGGTATATAACAAAAAATAAGGCTTTGCTCACATAAGGCCCTGACCAATATGAAGATTTTATGATCCATAACAATGCAGACTTTAAGGAGAAGAAATAAAAAAACAGATAACTGGAAATATCGGCTTACGCTGTTTTAGTTAAACAGTGGTTTATTCACTGATATGGTTTAAGGATGTGCATGGGTACTTGAGTATTTAGTTAACCATCTGAGGTGCCAGTATAGAATACTAAAATTCTGCGGGTGGTTGAAGACAGGGAAAATGTATGAGCTAACAATTCAGTAAAGTGATGATTTTATATTTAAACAGGACTGCGATGTGACAATTTTGCTCATGTATATTGTTGCTGTCCAACAAAAAACATGATTCTCCATTTTTGTCAATTTTTTGTCATTTTGTTGTTTTTATTTTTCCCTATTGTTTGAATACGGCAGCTGTTCTTTACATTATGTAAAAATTTCAAGATGGATGGGCAAATAAATATGCTCCAGAATAACTTTGGATGAATCTTCTTTACATTAACTTCCATTAAAAGTTAAGAACGTTTATGCCTTCTCTTGTAAAGTTGCTGTTCTGGAGATATATGTTTTTCTTTGTATGATGCACACACATACATACATCCGATAATTAGCTTTGCTTTCTCATTTTTCAGCACTAGCACTAGTTCTCCTTTTAGAAAGATTCCTTTCCTTTTCGTTTCAGCATGCTATTCCCATGCCATGCTAAAGGCTATGTTTTGATGCACTTTACATGTATTCTTCTATTTAACCATAACAGTTTAGTGTTCAAATGTACCAGTTCATTGCTCATTGCTGTAAAAGAAAAGGGAAGATTTTCTGCAGTCAGAGTGGCAAAAACCAACATGATCTGACTTTTTTCAATAGGATTTAGGCCATATTTGTATGTGGTTTCAAATCCAAGATTTGAAGCAAATTTGATATGCCCTGCTGTGTGAACAAAGCCTTTGAACAGAACTCAACCGAGAGAGAGACAGAGAGAACTACAGAGAGAAGAGGCTTGGGGGAAGGAGAACTCTAGGCTAATGAAAGCCTTACTTTATGAAATAGTAGACTAATCACCCTTGCAATCACAATCAGTAATCAGCGGGGAGGCACTCCACGTCTCTCCTCCACTGACCGCACCACTACCATGCCCCTGTAGAAAGCTGCTGATTGGGGTTGCAGTCTTCTTGTCTGTGAAAGCAAAGCTACTCTATAAAGGGATGACAACTGGCTTGCTTGAACTTATCTATACCCTGCGAAATGCTGTCCTTTCAAATGGTAGGGTGCTCTTGTGGTCCAGGTGGGAAATTCTAGCTCTGTTGTCTTGAATCTAGAGCTCCACTGTCAACCTATCATAAGAAAACACATCTCTGAAATGTCAGCTTTATAGGACAAAAGAAAAAATGTTCTAAAAAGGAAATTCCACTGATTTATAAACATTTCTACATAATTAAGCTGTTAAAATGTAAAGTCATTCAGAATTCAGGTGCAATGCGCCATCCTAGAGAAAGTTACAGACAAAACTGTTCATGGTGATGATAAGAACTAGACATTTGAAGTGTTTAATGCCTCTAAAAGCTACCTCACAGAAAGCTAATACACACAGTAGTATACACCTACAGAATACTCTGTCTAATGCCTGAGACATTGTTTTATAAAAGTTTTGTTATTTTTGGCCTAAAACATATTTTTAAAAATCCATTCAGGTACACGCAACCATCAAAGTAGTAAAAGTATTACCCAAGGAAAACAGACTTTTTAAGACTGAACACTATTACGTAACTATAAAAACTCACCTCTATATAGAAAACTGAGTCAACACCGTTCTCTACAAAGCAGCATTTCACTCAAACACTTTGTGTAAATCTTAACAGTGAAACTGTACAGAAATTTGGAAAATTGGATGGAATTCCCCTTTACCTTTAATGTATATTAATGTAATGAGATTGTATTAAAAGTCATTTTGGACCATTTTTATTGATCTGGGCTCATTTCCTCTAAAACACCTTAGTGTTAAGACCTTAACAGGGAGAGAGGATGTTCACTATGATGCTCGCTCTACCATTTAACAATCATCTAAAAACTGCTATGATACTTTCTGGAAACCCAGCCCTGTTCATTACAAAAGGTAATGAATGAATGGCATTTTCAAACAAATTAGAAAAAAGAGAGTAGCATTCTTAAGACAGCAACAAAATGCAATGCAGTAAACATGAAATAAGCCCACACATTGAAAGGTGTCTGCAGTCTTTTGCATCTTAGCGGGCGCAGGGATGCAGATGCTGACCAGGGTGGACGAGTGCATAAAAACTTAAAGGATTACGGCCTCCCTCTCTCATTCTGACTCCATCTCACTCACCCCCTCAGTCTTCCTTATCCATATAGGAGAATCAGCAGGTACTGGTTCCCCCCTGTTCAGCTTCTCATTAACTGTTTATGTTTCACTCACCCACACATACACACAGACACCTCTATGAGGTTTAATAACGTCATAAGAGCCGTATTCTGCATTCGTGAAATCATAAGCAGGAACTTGGCAGGGAATCTCAAGTGCCACTCCGCTGTGAATGTGATGGCGTACCTCTAAAACGATGCCAACCGCACACTCTTTTCTTCCTCTCTCATCCACTGTGCCTTTCCTTTTCTTCATCTCTCTGTGCAGCCTCTCAGGCTCTATCAAGTGTTTAGGCAGTCACACACACATACACACACTCCCTTAGATCTGTCATCAGCACTGCACACGAGGATCCTTTAGTGTGTGTGTGTGTGTGTGTGTGTGTGTGTGTGTCTGTGTGTGTGTTGTGTCATGTCTGTGGGGTGTGTGTGTCTCTCCTCCCTGCAGCATTTCTTATGGATAATGAGTGAGATAAAGGGTGATGAGCAATATGAAGCAAACTGAGCCAGAGAGACGACCCATTACAAACAAACTGTGTTCTCCATCAGCACGCTAGAAACACACGCTCTCCGAGGAGAACAAGAACACTGTAGACAGAGAGAACAGAAGTGAAAGAGAGGGGGGGCGGGCAGAGTGAGAGAGATTGAAAGGAAGTAAAGAGGAAAGCAAGCAAGAGAGACAGAGAGAGAGAGTCAGAAGGCAAAGATAGAGAGAGATAGAAAGACAGTAGAGAAAGAGAGAGAGAAGGGTAAAGAGAGTGAAAGAGATGGAGAGAGTGAGAAAACAAAAGAGAGAGACAAATAGACAGAGGGGGCAAAGAGAGAGATTGAATGTGTGATAGTAAGAGAGATGAGCAAGACGAAGAGCAAGAGGGAGAGACCTACAGAGAGAGAAACACCTACAGAGAGAGAGACAATAGATGGTAAAGGGAGACATGAAAGAGAGAGGTAAAGACAGAATGTGAAGCAAGAGGGAGAGAGAAAGATGGAGAGAGACAGAGAGAGAGAGAGAGAGTGGAGAGAGAGAAATAGTAAGATGGAAAGATAGAAAGACAGACCAACAGAAAAGGTCAAAAAGGAAAAATGAATTTAGAGTGTCTCTCTTTTCCTCTCTCTCCTCCTTTTATCCATTTCTCTGATGACATCAGCAGCAGCTGTATCTGGTGGGGTGTTCAGTGGAGGTTGATTACAGTAGGCTGGAGGTAAAGGGCAGCATGACACAGCTAAGTATGCATATCAAATAAGAAACTCTACTCAGACAACATTCCACACACACACACACACACTTACACACTCTGCCCCTTCAGCCCACCTGTCCAATAATTGCTTGTATTTCATGTGAGTCAGAGAGAGCCGCTGCTGTGGCTGCTGAGGGACAGAGATGGAAAAAGGTCTGAGGCTGCATACTGTAGTCAGAGCTGAAAAACAGGCCGTGGTTCAGACTGAGAGACTGGGAAAGTGCTTTGTGTAGGAGTCAACGGACATATTCTGCTTCTTTAGCAAGGCTTTTAAGAGCATCTGTATCGCTAACAGGATATGCATGTGTTCTAAAGTTAGGTTACACAAAAAAAACAAAAAAAACAAGCCATGTGTGTTTGGTAGGGGCGGACTGATACTGATTTCTTTAAAGCTAAATTGGCTGATGGCCAGTTTCCTTGGCTGAAGTTTTTCTGAAAGCAATAGGCCGATTCTGATACTTACTGCATCCCTAGTCTTTGGAGAAGTTTGAAAAATTGATTGATGAAATTATGGTTAATGGGCAATGATGGTTAATTGTAGACACACAGATCTAGATTTCTTTATGATTTTTATAATTTTCTTTGTGATTTTTAAAAAATGTTTTCTTTAGTCATTTTTTAAGCTTTTGTATGTAATGTTGATTTTGATAAATTAGTGGTGATGAAAAACAAAAACGAAAAAAAAAAAACATTTTCTTTAGGTACTATTTTGCCCTATAATGCCCTATGTGTACCTCTCCACTGTGAATAAATAAAAATAAATTAATTAATTAAAAAAAACATATTAGGCAATGTGTTTATGTACCATTTTGTGTAGTAACCTTTTATCAAATAGCTTACAGAGGCATTAAACACTTTGGATGTCTGGTTCCTATCATCATCACTGTGAACAAGTCTGACTTGGCAAGTTTCTCTAGAATGGCACTTTATGCATTAAACCACTTTGAATGGCTTTACTTACATCTTAATTATTTAGTTATACAGAAACCTAAAATAATTAGTGGAAACAAAGTTACTTATGATGAGGGCTGAGGACGTTGAAGCTGAAATCATTATGATTTTGACTATTTGTGGTATTTTTGAATATTGCTTCCAGCATAACAGGTCATCCAGACCCTCTTTCAAAGATACTGATCCACAGAGCTTGATTTTTTACTATTACCATGGCAAAATTGATTGACCTGCAGGTCAAAAGACCTTACCTGGTAGTGCATGAGTGTGTTGAGTCTCTTCCAGTCATTCTCAATTTTGGTGGTGATATCTTCATCCTGCAAGACCACGCGTGCCATTCGACCCTGACGCCACTCTAAAAATAAATAAATAAACACATGAATTAGACAGTTATTCAGCAAAACACACTCAAACGTGCAGCATAATGAAATGCTAAAGACTGTGTTGATGGGAAAACAGACAGGTTCAGAGAGAGAATGATCACTCATTTTCCCCTCTGTTGAATGGTCTTCATTTGATGGTCTGCCAGATGCACAGATGATGGCTGTAAAACACACACACACATACATCCACACTTGGCGGTGCCAGTTCCAGGCACAGTCAACCCAAAAAACTCGTAATGGAAGCGGCTGTTCAGGCTGAGGTGTTGGAAGGCTGATTTGCAGCGCTGATAGGGGGGCTTTTGTGCTATATGAATGTGAAAAGTGTGTGTGCCAGATATGAGGCAGGGAGTCAATCTGGTTAGCCCGTCTGTCATCCTTCACTCCGGTCAGTCAGATACATGCACATATCCACAAACACACTAATACAACACATGAATATATAGCCATCAGTGCATTGGATAAGGACGCAGTCATAGTAGACCTGAAGACCCAAAAAAGTCCTGCATTTTGTGTGATTAGTGAGCTACCCAACCTGCCCACCAGAAACAGAACAAACACAAACGTTAAATTAATAACACAATCTAAATCTGCTAGATATGATATCTGAACCATTTTAGTATTGGCAAATAAGGGTTAAAAATAAATTATCGGCATCAACGTTTAGATTTGAACAATACTTCAAATCGATATTGGATGACATAATTATTGCACTCTCGAAGAGCACAAAAATCTCCTTCAAACTGAGAAAGTTTTTCTCAGCTGGCAAAGAGCTAACACTGAAAATCTCTGAACTAAGAAACTTTCTTTCGGCCAACAACAGGAAGAACGGTGTGTCATTTGTTCATTTGTGTTCTTATATGTCTGTTGTTTAAATTATAAAGACACCTCTGGTTTTAGAAACGCGCTACATAAATTAAATGCATTACTATTATTATTATGTCCCCATTTCTACAATTTATAAATTTTTAATGTATTGGCATTGGCAGTGGAAAATATGCACATGAAAAATATCCGATATTGGCCCCCAGTTATGTATCGGTGCACCTCTAAAATGACTCCGTATTCTGCTTCTCTTTTGTGATTCAATTTACAGTCAGGTTGAAAGACTGTTAAAATATCATGGCTACACACTGTTTTTGCTTCATCCCTTTTGAATCTTCAGTGCTGCTATACAAAGGACTGCCCCTTCAGAGGGGGTAGCCAGAGCAGCTGTGCCATTGACTGACAATGTGAATTTGTGCGTCAAAGCTCATCAAATTTGAGCTTGAAATCTAGTTTCGCATGCAAACATTTTAACAGTGTAAAATCCTTCATCTTGATGATTGCCACTGAAATGAATGTAGTTTCCCTTACGAAATTTCACTCTCAAAAAACTAGAATTATTGCTGATTAGTGTGTAGAGATGCTCAGATAAGGGGAATTCTGGGCTGACGATATCCAATATTTTTCATGTAAATATTTGCTGATGTCGACAGGTAAACATTTATAAAATGTAGAAACTGGAACTACATATACCTGAATAAGCATCACAGAGGAATATAACTTATTTTTGCAGGGTTACAAATGCAATTAAATGAATAGAATGCAGAAAATTTAGCACAGTAGCCCAACATCACCTAAATGTTCTGCTCCTCAAGAGTATATAAATATGTCATCAAATATAGTTATGATGTATCAGCAACATGTCAACATGTCATCATCGGCCTGATGTCGATATGATTTCAATATCATCTTGCAACCTCCGCTGTGTGTGTACTCACCCAGATCCATGTCCACTGCTCTAGGTCTCTGTGAGTAGGGCATGTTCTTGTAGACAGCATCCAGTATCTTCTCCTTCACCTGCGTGATCGTATCGCAGTTCAGCACTTTCACTGCAATCTCCGGGCTGTTCTCGTTATCCGGATTCACACAGTTCAAAATCTGAGAGAAAGAGAGAGGGACAGAGGGAGAGGGGGGATGATGAAGTTGATATGGATGAAGACTAAGCCATGCTCGGAGCACTCTGATGGTTCCTGTTCAGGTTCAGGTTGAGAAAGCATTGGGTTCGTGGAAGGGCTGAGAAAAAGGCCATTTGCTGGCCCCAGAAATCTAATTTCACACTCACTGCAGGAGACCAATTTCAGCTTCAGCATGGTATTAGTGCCTAATGAGCGCCGTCAGCCCTCAGCCAGGCTGCCTCAGTGCAAACACACGTATACAATGGAATATAACACATATGTTCATGGTACATAGACACACACATACACCTGGCCACAGCAATACACCATGCACGTGTGCCAGCAGGCTACTAACCAGAGTCTTGTACTCTATCTGCTGTCGAATCAGTTTGTCTTCGCTGAGGGAGTAGCGTGCTTCTCCTGTGATGGCATCTATAGGGCCTTTCTCCATCTGCTGCTTTATAGCACAGTACAGCATAAACAGAGGCTCCCCAGCACACTCCTATAAGGGGAGAGACAGAAAAAGAGGGAAAATATGAGCGTAAAATTGAGAGGACATCATCTCCACTTCAAAGATGCCGAAGACATGCACAAAAACAAAGGCTGCATGTACACACAATGTGAAGAGTGATACACGTTAGGCTAGGGTCAATAATGGTATACCAAGGGCCAAATGTACATATATGTTTCTTTAGAATAGTCTGTCTTCTGCTTGGGCCTTCAGGCTTCTTAATAGTTAATGATTCCTTTGACTGTCTCCACCCATCTTGTTGTTGGCCGCCCTCTTCTTTTACTTCCAGCTGTTCCAAGCATAATTGTCTTTTCCAATGAATCAGTTCTTCTTGTATGTCCAAAATAAGATAATCTTATGTTATCCAGGGCTTCAGGTGAGGCTTAACTTGGTCAAGAATCTATTTGTTATCTATATGTATAAGGCATACATTTTTACCTGTCTGCTTTTTAATTGTCAAGCTTTCATATCCATAAAAAACATATCCATAGCCTAGACATTTCTTCCTTCATCATTTCTCTGCCAAGTGCCAATCTGTGTCTTATTTCTTCACTGCTGTTGTTAATAATAGATCCAAGGAGGCCAAAGCGGTCCACTACTTTTACATCTTCACCATCAATGGTAAAGTTAGTGGTCTTTCTCACTGTCATAACCTCTGTTTTCTTCATATTGAGCTATGTATGTGAGAAGAAAATTGCAAAATGTGCCTTGACATGGCTGCAGTACGCACTCGAAGTGCATCTGAAATTGACCTTTGGTTTATTAAGGCTGTAGCTAATCATGCAGACTGCTCAAGACCTATTGATTGGGTTTAAAAGGTTCTTGAATATTGTTTCCCACTAAAACATTCTATGAGGGAGTAATTCAACTCAGGCTAAAAAACAATAATATGAAAAGTCAGTGCCATAGTAGTCACTAGGCAAATTCTGGAGGAGTTCTCAGAGCTGAAACAGTATTATTTTTCTGTATCATACTCGAGCCTCCTAAAAAACATGCTTTTGAAACACTATAGCCTGTTTTTACAAGGAGGACACAATTCCACATAAAACTGCCCACCTCTGATTGTCCAAATTTTAGTACACTGAATGGAATATGTAATAATATCTTCACCCATTTTTGAGTGATCTTACTACATTTTGCACAAGTCTCTTTCAAATGCATATGTATAATTGAGAAATGTGTTTTTTTCATGTACACGCTGCATAAACTGTGTGTTTAGGTTTACTCGTGAAATTTGTGAATAACAGGCACATCTTTTTGGGCAGAATGCATCCTGTTTGTATCTAAAACCTAATGCAAAAGGCTTAGTACATCTGGCCTTGAGTATTCCTGGCTGGCTGACTACAGGGACTAAGCCAAGCCCAGGCCAATTTGACTACATCTCCAATACACACCCTCCTAGGCCCAGGCCTGCTTCACTCAGGATCTTACTTACACATGCATATTGATCCACACCACAAAAGGCTTACAGCATTATTTAATGTTTAAAAAAAATCCCTGCCTGACTTAAATGCAGAATAGTAATATACAGAAACATTGACTGTACATGTAACTGCTAAGTCTTCTAAATCAACCAATACATTTTTATATTAAGATAAGCCCATTTATTTCAAGCAAAAGTGCACATTCATAAATAATGTGTACTGTCCTTGCTTTGTCCATTATAGGTCCAAATATATGCAGACAATCCTTCTAATTAGTGAATTCAGCTACTTTAAAGTGCACTCATTGCTGACACAGGCACACACAAAGCTTCGTAGAAAAACACTGTCGATAGAACGCCAAGCGTCAGAATGAGCATGGGCCATGGGGTAGTGAAACTGCGTTCTCTGGAGTGATAGGGCAGCTCTGGGATGAACTGGAGTGGTGTTTGTCACAACTATTTATCAAATGTAACTACTTAACCTCACTAATGCTCTTATAGCTAAATGTAATCAAAACCTCACAGTAAAGTTTCAATATCTAGTGAAAAACCTTCCCAGAAAAATAGACTGTTAATGCAGTGGACAGACTCCCTATTAATACCCTTGATTTCAGAAGAAATGTTACATGAGAAGGTGTCTGCAAACCTCTGCACATGAAATGTATGAGAGTCGAATGGCATTGATCTACTACAGGTTCCTCAGTTACCTTGAGGAATTTGTGAAGGAGGAAGGCAAACCAGTTGGTGAGCATCTTCTCAGCCACAGACTCAGTCCTGAAACACACATGCAATGCTCAGTGAGTATCTGGGGACCACACTCATACTCATAAATACCTAACATTAGCTTCATAGTAATTACAGGGGGTATAAAACTACTTGAATACAGTTCTTTTGTGCAGTGTTTCCCAACCCGGTCTCCAGGGCCCCCCCAGACAGGACACATTTTTGCTTCAATCTTACTCACAACACACAAGGATGAACAGAAAAAAATAAAAGTCCATTCATGGCATTCATGGAGAGGTTCATGCAGGGTGTTATGGGGCAAAATTGTCCCAAAAGAAATGATATTTTTCAGAATTACCACTATTTTACCATCATCAACATTATCAATCGCAATGGTTGATTTTAGCAGAGATTTTGAAACATCAGTATAATTTCCTGTTGAAACATATAAGTTAACAATATTCCTGCAGTATATGGGTATAAATTAAGCTTCTATGGTATTTGCTGTTTCATAATCATCATCATCAATATTATTATTAGTAGTATTATTAATAATATTACTATAAAGCTGGAAGGAGATGTGGAGCAGAGATTTGAGAGGGAAGCTGCCAGAAGCACAGCACAGATGTGGACGAGAGAGGCAGTGATTCCACTCTCTCTATCTTCCTCCTTTTCACCTTTCCTTCCAACTCTGCTTGTCCATTTCCATATTATTCTCACTCCGTCCTGACCACGGACACTTTCATGTTTGCCTGCCTTTGAAGCAGTGCAAAGGGCGTGTTTGCACAGACACACACACACATACAAACCTGCGTGTGAACTCAAATTAAACACACTCACAAACAGATTTACATGCTATTCTTTGGAGTACATAAAGAGTATTTGAGAAGAGAGACATGTTGAGGTTTTTTTGTTGAGGGGAGAAGAAAAGAGTAGGTGGAAAAAAATATTTAAAAAAAAAAACAAGGAAAAGAGTGAGAGAAGAGAGGGAACAGACGAAAGAGAGCGCAAGAACAAACAGCATCCAGACAGGAGTGGTTAACGAGCATGAAAAATACATGAAAGGGTTACTCTCTCTCTCTTCAACGGAACAGGACGCCTGTGGAATACCAATACCTTTCCTCCTCCTGCTATATCACACATGCATACACACACACACAACCACAGGCTTCCTTTCACCTCCAAACAAAATACAGACACTTGAATTTTTCTCTAGCATAAGCATGCATGGTACTCTTATGTGGTGTCTGTGTACTGCGGACACCAATGTATTTGTCACTTATAGAAACACACATACACACAGAATCAAACACACTCTCATACTCTCTCTCACACACCACACTCCTGTCTACTGCGGGGCACAGAATGCAGCTTGCTGCCAATTTACTCAATGGCAATGGGGGAAAATGTCTCTCTTAATCCCTACGAAAATATCTATGATTATTATATATCTATGTACATTTGTGCATAGAGTCAGAGAATAAGGTGTGAATGAGACTGAAGTTGGGTTTGTCACATGTTGGAGTTGCCATGATTTTATGAAGTGCTCTATATTAAAAAGATACCATGCCAAAAATTAAAGGAATTAAAGGCAAATTCCACTATTTTTTTTCCATAACTGGTCAAGCGACACTAATAGACCAATTCGGATAATCATGACTGCAATAATTATGCATGCAATTCTGCTACAGTTGAGATGGTGTCCAGCACTAAGCCCTCTATTCTTCTTAACTCCATTAAAAGAAAGAGCTCTCCCCTTCAACTCTTAATCCAACTGCATTATTCAATTCCACACCATAAAACAAACAGTTTGTTCACCTGGATATGCCAAAAAGGCCATGCTGATCTGTATAATGGGGCTTAATATGCTAGTGTGTGATGTGGTGCCTTTATCAAACGGTGATGTGGTGTCTGAAAAAGGCTACGAGCAGATTTAACAGAGAGAACGATAAAACAAGGCTGTCAAACTGCGCTATTTCTATAAAAATATCAAATGAATGTGTCTGAGTCAACTCTTCCTCCTGTAAATGTATTCTAGGCTGCCAAGGCTAAAAAGAGAACTTTTGTTCCCTGATCTAGGAGAGAGAGAGAGAGTGGGAGAGAGAGAAAGAAAGAGAGAGAGAGAGATTGAGTGAGAGAGTGATGTAACTTGGAGTTAGATGGTGAAAGCACCTCACTGACTCTTTTCACACCTTTATGAAAAGAGCATCTTTATGCTGAACTTGTTATATGATTACATAGTGAGATGGACGTGTGTATTCGTGTGCACAGGTTCCAAATGTACAGAATATATGTTCATGTATTCCTTTTTCGCTGCTTCCTCTGGTTTTTGAACTGCTTTTTTTTCTGCTGTGCACTGGACAGAGGGCTACAGTGTGTGTCCGTGTGTATTTAAATGTGCATGTGTGTTTGGGAGAGTGATGGACACACACACACACACACACACACACACACACACACATCTAGCTGAACGACAGCATGTTTGATGTCGGTTGCATCAGGCAGAGGCAGATGGAGGTTCTTGTGCCTTTATCATAATTATTCCTGCAATCACAGACAGCCACTTGATTGACAGCTGCAGGGTTGCGCACACATACACATACAAACTCGCTCAAAGCTATACAAACTCATGCCTTCTTCTTACTTTGCGCACAAACAGAAAATGGATACTTTTAAGATTACATTTGACCTACAGCTGATTTGGTCAGACTCTATACACTAAATTCCAAAACTGTCATTACTACTGAGCAAGCTTATCAGTCGGCAGCTGTGACAGAAGAACACATAACAACCTGGAATTAGCCAGAAATGAACCGAGTACCATTTGCCAAATAAAATGAGCTGTAAGATGCTTTCCAGACTGGCTGGAACAAAACAACATTAAAATTGATCTAGCAAAAAATGACAAAACTGAGCTAAACTTGATATTGCGGCAGTTTTATGGCTCAGTCCGTTCTTCAAAAAGCTTACAGCATACTGTGTAGTGAGCTGCTTGTTAAGGAACTATAATTTGGCGGAAGGAATTGCTTACATTAAAACATATTAAATGCCACGTTCACAGCCCAATTTATTTATTACTCTATTTATTTAACTGTTGTATAAAAGCAATAGAACACTCGAGGTTGTGTGTTATTTCACGATAACATGACCTTGAGAGTTCTATTGCTTAAATATCCACCTGTTCGACCTATAGTAGTTTAGCCCCACCCACACATTCTGAAGCTATAAGGATTGTTCCAACTTTGAATGCATATTGAATGAGCCACAATACAGGACAGCCAAACAGAAGAGAGATCAATTACATTATCAGTCTTAAAGACACAGTAGCAAAAACAGCCTATGTAATTCTAAGAGATAATGAGAGGCTGGAAAATTTGCATGTAAAAATGAACTATGACTGCTTCTGTTACATAAAAATTACACAAACGCCATAAATGGACCTCAAAGAAAAAAATAAAGGACAAGAAAAATATAGGATATGGACCTTTTAATTAAAAGCAGTTTCTACCAAATAACATTAGTTTTTAGGTTTTTAAACAGCATTGTCCAAGTTTTAACTAACCTCAACTGTCTGTTTTGACATACCTTTAAAATTATATTTACTGTAATTATATCTGTCTAAATACTATTGATTGACCCTTCTGGTACAGATTTGTACAGGTTTTAGAGAATAATGCAGAAGTAATTAGTACTGAGATTATTTTTTTCCTAGAACTATTTGTAATTTATAATGGATCACTTTGTATACTGAATAACTACCCCAATGCTGGTACAACTATAGATATTTTATTCATACTGCACCGTAGAGTTTTAACTGGGCATTAAGTTTTGATCCAAACTTGTTTTTAGCCTTCCTCCTAACGATAATAATAGTGTCAGTTAAATTAGCTTGTAGTGTGACAATGACTGCAGTCATCAGATCACTGATAAACAAAATTAAAAAAAATGAATAGCCTGACTTTGAGCTATCCAAAATTAATCCTGTATTCCACTTTAATTAATATATTCATCAATCCGAGCCTTCGAACAGCACACCAAACATTTTCAGTGCGGGCATACGACATAATGCTCTGTTCTCATCAAGGACTTCGGTGGGCCTCACTCCGACAACATGAGTGACTCCAGGGTGCCAGATTAAAAAAAAAAATCAACATGGAGCACACTGCATTTTCGTTCTGTACTATGATGCATTTCCAAGTGAAACATGGTTTCAAAGAGGGTCTCTCGATAATAACTGTGGGTTTTTGGAGGGGGAGGTAAAACATGACATTACTGGTCTGGTGATTTTTCCCCACTCGCTGGTGCACACTGACTAGGAATGCAAATTTCTGCGAATTGTTTTGGTTGATAACCGATTGTCATTACTCAGTGATTTATCGTTAACTTGTAAGCCTAAAATAAAGAATGTGACTAATCAAAATACTTTTTTTTGGTTTGGCTGATAACCATATGTTCATGATTACACAGTTTCAACACCCCTGGTCAAATTGCATGTTGTGCTGATTTTTTAAGTAAAAATAAGTGAACACATCCTCTATATTTAACACACTTAATTACAACATTTTCCTGCAAATTTAAGTGCATAATTGCTTTTAACGTATTGCAAATAATACAAAATATTGAATGTACCAAAACTTTGCACAGTTTTACCAATATGCTTTATAATGTACAGAAGTATGCTCTCTGAAGAAGATGTGTAACTTATTTCCACCTAGAAAATTTAAGAAAACGCGACATTTGATGAGGTGCCTAAACTTTTGCATGTGACAATATATGATCAGAAAAATACAAAATTTGATAAAATGACTGGCATGTACAATGTGGGCCTACTAAAAATTTTGTATTCTTAAGAATTCTTACCTCAAGTCCAAACGAACACGAACGGTCGAACAATTATTTATTTCGCTGTTGTCGGAAGAAATCCTTGTATCTCCATTTTTGACGTTTTTCAGTTTGTTCAATTATTTGAAAATATCTGTTACCCTTTACATTGTATGCAAATTTCATGGTGAATGGATGAAAAGAAATGACCCAAAATAAACTGGAAGAAG